ATGAAAACATCGATGTATTTTAAACATCGAGTACTTTTTCTGAAATTTTATTACAAAACTCAATTTATGTGGAAAGTGACCCATCTCAAAAGAGGCAATCTTTTCATAGTAAAAAAAAAATACTTTTGAAGTTTATGAAAAGACCTTAATCCATAATTTTATTATAGTTAATATATTATTCTTTCATAAAATAATAGAATTAACTCCTTTCATAATGAGTAGGTAAAAGTAAATAAAAGTAAAAGTAATGTGTCAGAAAAATCTGTATTATATTTTTACAAAAGATCATATAAAAAAACGCTAAATAACCCGCAAAATTTTTGCTAAGTCTGTGAAAAGAATATTAGAAATATACTTCATCTTAGTTTCTTTCACAAAACTAAAGGTTATTAAATGTTTATAAACATAGAAACTCGTAGTTATTTTTTATTGTCACTGCACTGACTCTTGCGCAGTGCTGCCAACATCGGGTCCATATCAGAGAATTCGGAATAATGATGCTTTAATAATAGTAATAAGTAAAATTTTAGTGGTCAAACTTAAGTTTTTTTACTGAGGTCAAACCGAAGAGGATATTATCACTACGCGGTCAAACTCTATTACCAATTCGATGTTTCTTTAAAACATCGATGCATCGAGTATATTGAAAGCTATTCAAAACATCGGATCGTATCGATGTTTTTCATTGCAAACATCGATGTTTTCGATGCATCGATGTATATCGAATATCCCTACTCGTGTGACGCGTTGAGACGAGCGGTCACTCTTTTTACCGGACTGCGCAATGCAAGAGCGCGAAGTGCGACGCGCAGACAAGGTATAGTGTTTTACAGTCTATATATGTATGTTCCTTTGTGGCACACTAGGGACCAAACGCGTGGACCGATTTTAATGATTCATACATCAATCGATTCGCCTTAATCATGGGAGTACTACTAAAGATATGATAATGTATCTTTTTCTCTTTCTTTTTTAAATTTTATAAATTCTAGGCCACTCACAATAATATATTAAGCCCAAAACTAAGCTAAATTCGTAAAATAATATAAATGGCATAATAACACGACTTAGGAACAAATATTTGTGTTCATCACACAAATGTCTCTACGATATTCGAAACCTTTGGAGACGAAATGTATTTATCATAAGAGTACTAAATAACACATCTGACACCGGTAATCTATATAATTCTGGTATTCTATACAATACCTAGGCAATATATAGATTGTCTGGGGCGTCTAAAGAATGTATTATATATTATTAATTTTACTTTTCATAGATATTTTATACAATGTCGAATATACGCAGTCGGGGATATGTGTAAAAGAAGATAGCGACTCAACTTTTCCTTGTTTTGTTTATCATATAAGAGCATTCAGATATAAACACAGACTATTGTTTTTTAACATGATTTCACTTGAAAATCGCAAAGATTTTATAGCTATTAACGGGATTGTTACCATGTACCTTGTTTTTTATGAGTCTCCGATATTTCGGCACTGTTGCAAGCGCCATGATCACGGAGTAACTGAAGTAATTGCGGGTAGATGTTATTGGCAGACATATCGGTCTACCCTCTGACGTCGTCTTTTACTGCGCTCGATACCCCTACCATTGGTCACGTTCTCACTATTCACTCGCACCTGTTCCCGACACACAATACTCACAGTATCCGATCGCGGAACGACACTTTTTTGATTTTTACGGTTTTTGCACATACGAACCACTGGATTCCAGACACTTGACAATTTAAACCCATCCTCACAATTGAAATTTTTGTGTTTGGTTATTTCAATCGCTTCCCTGACCAATCTTGGTATGTAGTGGCGTTCTGTCGAGATGATTTGTGGATTATGGAGCTCAATCCAGTGATTCGGACCCGAATCGATTAAATGTTCCGCGATAGCCGATTTCTGCGTATCATTGTTTCTGACTGCTTTTATGTGTTCTTTCATTCGGCACGCTATTGTCCGCTTCGTTTGGCCAATATATGAACTACCACAGCTGCAGTCGATCTTATATACACCAGGTTTCTCCAAAGGGAAGTTGTCTTTGGGAGATCGTAGAAACTGTGACACTTTTTGTAAAGGAGTGAAGACAGTATTCAGTGAAATATCGGAGACTCATAAAAAACAAGGTACATGGTAACAATCCCGTTAATAGCTATAATGTTAGTGACCATGAAAGTTTAAAACAATATATCGCAAAGATTTATTGGACAAACCGTTTATTTTTAAAATTATCCGAAATAAGATCAATTGTCCGCAACTGCTACAAAGATATAGATTTCGCGTCCCAAGGAGAATTCCTCGTGCTCCCATTACTTCGCTTAGTCCTCCCTTACGCAAAACAGTCCTAGGTGCAAGTTTCGTAGTATCAAGACTGAGTAAGCTTGTTAACGAAAGTAATGTCGACAGCTTTGCTGACTCATTTACCAAGCTCAAAAGTTTAAGTGCTTCACCTAATACATACGTAGGTTAAATTCTTATTTATTTTTTATTTAGTATTGTAACATTGTGATGCCTTTTGAAACAGTTAATTGATCAACTGACTACTTTTATTGTATGTAAATTTGTTTTTCTTTCTGAATACCTTTAAAATTTGTTATACTTAGCCTTTTACACACATTCCCGACTGCGTATATTCGGCATTTTATAGAATAACTATGAAAAGTATAAAATTAATAATATATAATACATTGTTCAGACGCCCCTGAGAATCTATATATTGCCTAGGTATTGTATAGAATACCTGAATTATATAGATTACTGGTGTCAGATATGTTATTAAGTACTCTTATGATAAATACATTTATTAACTCTAAAAACATAATATTGTATTATGATTTATCATGTGTTTTATAAAAATGGTGTTCAACTTGTATTTAGCACCGTAAATCATACTTTACGTAATTTTCTTCTGTGCTTTCTAGTTACCCCTACTTATCTTGGATGTACTGAACTTAAATCTCGGAAAGTAAAATAACTTTTTACTTCGAAAGTAAAATAAAAGTGTTATTTTTAGTAATACTAGAAAATTTTAAGTATCTATATATTTTCTTGTCATGTTTCTTAACATAAATAGAAAAGCTTAGACTTTTCTATGCCTCGTCTGATGGTTAGTTTGAGCTCAAAATCCGGTTTATTTAATTATTAATTTGGTAGAAAATAAATCTGTCAATAAATCCCATATTACTGTAAATGGTTTAGATTAAAGCAAAATTAATTTAAGGTAAATGGTCGTTGTCAAACCAATATCTGCTATGTGCAAAAATATAACTTTAAAACATAGCAGCTAATGTTTGACAATATTCTGGCTGATGTAAATAGCATATTTTTAAGCGATCTTTGTTCATTGTAGCAGTCTTTGTATTCCAAAATTCGGTTAATATAATGATTAAAACTGGCATAATGATGAAAATGTCGAAATCTCTAAAAAGTGGACGGTCGGAGAGCAAAGTGGAAAATGAAGAATTAAAGGCTATTGTGGAAGAGGATCCATCACAAAGCACTTCAGAGATAGCTGCAGACTTCGGGGTAAGTGACAAAACTATATTAATCCACTTAAAGCAAATCGGGAAAGTAAAAAATCTCATGAATTGAGTGAATCGAACTTGAAAACACGCGTCGACTGCTGTGTTACTTTGCTCAACCGACACAATAATGATAGGATTTTAAATCGAATCATTACTTGTGATGAAAATACTGTACGATAATCGGAACCGCACGTCACAATGGCTGTAGAACCCTGGAGACCCAGCCAATTCCTGCCCTGAACGAAAATTGACTCAGAAAAAGTTACTTGTGAGTGTTTGGTGGCTAGCCTGTGTCGTTCACTACATCTTACTAAAATCTGGCCGAACCATTAAGGCAGATATATATTGTCAACAACTGCAAACCATGAAGGCAGAACTAGCTGCTAAACAGCCGAGATTGGTCAATCGCTCTAAGCCACTGCTGCTTCATGACAACGCAAGACCACACACTGCTTAACAAACATCCACAAAGTTAGATGAGCTACAATTGGAATGTCTGCGACATTCACCGTACTCCCCGGACCTTGCTCCAACAGATTACCATTTTTTCCGGAATTTGGACAACTTTTTACAAGGAAAAAAATTCAACTCTGATGCGGCAGTCCAAACCGCCTTCAAAAAGTTTATTGATTCCCATGGTTTTTTTAGAAAAAGGATCAATAAACTTCCTATAAGATGGCAAAACTGAATAGATAACAACGGTGCATACTTTGATTAATTAAATATATTTTACAAAAAGAAATTAACTTTATATTCCTCCCGTACAAAACGCCTGGAATTCAAAAGTCATATATGTAAGGACCTAATATTTTAACAGGTAATCAAAAGGTTAGAGTATAGATTTAAAGGCTATCAAGATTAACAGCAATATTACATTTTAAAAGAATAGGATAGAATCTTTGAGTCAAAGATAAAGGTTTCACCTATCCTAAATAGAGTCCAAAATAGAATGAACATGTAACAGTATAGTAATATAAGTTCTTTCCGGGATTGTTACCATGTAACTGGTAACTGGTTACTCCGTGATCATGGTGCTTGCAACTACTACATCTCTTGTTTCTAAACAAGGTACATGGTAACAATCCCGTAAATAACTTATATTAAGTATAATGTTAGTGACCATGAAAGTTTAAAACAATAATGTAACAGTATACCTATCATCAGGTTGGCCTAACGGGTCAGAGTGTGACTGGTTGGGAATGATTTAAGAAAGGTCTCCCAACGTGTCACAGTGTGGTGTGACTGGTTGGGAATTATTTAAGAAAGATCTCCCAACGTGTTACAGTGTGACTAGTTGGGAATTATTTTACAAAGTTCTCCCAACGAGTCACAGTGTTACAGGTGACAGTGTGACTCGTTGGGAACAAACGCTGCTATTGGTTTGACAACGACGATAACGATACGATACGTAAAATTGAATCAGAACTATTTACAGTATTCTAACTATGTTTTTTTTTTATTCCAGATGATCAAGATGATGGTGACCGTAGTGGTGGTATTCACTGTGTGCTGGCTTCCTCTCAACGTGTTCATTGCAAGTACTCGATGTCTTGTTGTTTATTTGTGTTAAGTCTTATTCTAAACGAACCCATCCGACGAGTGTTGAAGTTTGTTCCGAGATGTTACTCTGCAATCTTTCTAAAGCTAGACGGATAGCTTACAAACATTTGAATGATATTAACATTGAACTCGGCTGGTTTAGATATAATCATCTGCACAATTGTAAATAAAGAGAGAGGAGTAGGTACATCTCAATAACAAAAAGGTATCACGTAAATCGAATCACAAATCTCGGAGTAATCGGTGTACATACATAAAAAAAACATACAGACCGAATTAATAACTTCCTCCTGTTTGAAATCTACTATATAAAAATAAGTCGGGTTTTCCTTCCTGACGCTATAACTCCAGAACGCATGAACCGATTTCCACGGTTTTGCATTCGTTGGAAAGGTCTCGGGCTCCGTGAGGTTTATAGCAAAGAAAATTCAGGAAAAATTAAAAAAAAAACTTCTTTTAATCACCAAACGAAATGTTACATAAAACGAAGCCATCTGGTGGCGAAACGGAGTTCGCGGGGTTTGCTAGTCTACTATATAAAAATAAGTCGGATTTTCCTTCCTGACGCTATAACTCCAGAACGCATGAACCGATTTCCACGGTTTTGCATTCGTTGGAAAGGTCTCGGGCTCCGTGAGGTTTATAGCAAAGAAAATTCAGGAAAAATTAAAAAAAAAACTTCTTTTAATCACCAAACGAAATGTTACATAAAACGAAGCCATCTGGTGGCGAAACGGAGTTCGCGGGGTTTGTTAGTATCTTATAGAAAAAGTAAAGAGAATATCTTATATCAATAAAATTCATTATTTCACAAAATGATTTTTAAACAAGTTACTTATGTTTGTGCCTATTATTTATAATCGGTTATATCGGTTATATCGGTTATAAATAATAGGCACAAACATAAGTAACTTGTTTAAAAATCATTTTGTGAAATAATGAATTTTATTGATATAAGATTTTCTCTTTACTTTTTCTATAAGATACTAACAAACCCCGCGAACTCCGTTTCGCCACCAGATGGCTTCGTTTTATGTAACATTTCGTTTGGTGATTAAAAGAAGTTTTTTTTTTTAATTTTTCCTGAATTTTCTTTGCTATAAACCTCACGGAGCCCGAGACCTTTCCAACGAATGCAAAACCGTGGAAATCGGTTCGTGCGTTCTGGAGTTATAGCGTCAGGAAGGAAAACCCGACTTATTTTTATATAGTAGATTGCTACTTCCAAAATTTTATGATTATAGATATCTGGCTATTTCCCTGCGGCATACGTAGGTATATACTCCTATATTCCAAAGGATTGCAGACCTATCAATTGATATTTATTTTAACCAGTTGCTTCCAAATTTCCTTCATAAAAAGACAAATTATCATATAGACAGACCTTGGGAAATAAAGTACTGTCCATTTTTTCTTTAAGTATGAAACCTCAAAAATAAAATATCTGAGATAAACACAGGTTCTTATTATTTATTTCTCTACGAGATATGTATAATATTCAAAATTTATAAAAAAAAATATATTTGACTCTTCATCATCATCATCATCATCATCCTAGTAATATCCCCACTGCTGGAGAACAGGCCTTTCCTATGGATGAAATAAGCATTCAGGCTTTGAACCACCACCCGGGCCCAGTGCGGATTGATCGGTGCTATCGACTGCAGATGCAGCCGGGACCAACGGCTTAACGTGCTTTCCGAAGCATATAGGACATCGAGATAGTAAATTTTTGGGCACCCATCCAATGAAAGACCACTGCGAAAGTTGCTTAACTTCAACGATCACAGACGAACCACCTGCGCCATTGAGATCCACCATTTAGGTGTTTGAAATTAAAAATTAAATTAAGTTTGACCCTTATAAATATAAAGGACAATGGCGAAATATTTGTTGAAGTAAATTTTTAGCGTCTATAGATGTCATTATCAGAAATGTTAATAAAATAATCACAAAAGATTTATTAAACAATTCAGGAGGGTTGTCTAAGTCTGGAATAAAACACTTAAAAAAGGGAAACACAATTGACTATTTATTTATTTTTTTATTGTGGCTAGGCTTCATGGCTTTTGAGCCATTTATTTTAAGTGATTTTAGTGATGAAATCAACTTTAAATATGGTGTTCGTATGTTTTGCATAGCTTTACGCTTAAACTGTATTGAATTATCTATCAAAAATATCGGGAAACGTTATTTTTCAATATTATACTGAAACCATAATAAATTATCCCCCACAATACAAAAAGAGTATGACGCCAATTCTAACGCATAAAACTAAAACTGACACTGTCATGCTTGTCATCGAATTGTTGTTGTTATTGTTAACATTAACGTTGCTTGTGCATAAGTGCATGCGTATTGCAAGATGTAAATCGGCGTATTGTGTTCTTTCTGACATTTGTTTTTTATGTAACTTGGACTGCATTTGGACTTTCGAAATCTTTCCCTGCGACTGTTGAGTAGTGCTTGCCTAAGACTTCCAAATCTGATATTGGACGACTTCTTGCTGTGGATTTTGGACACGATTCTGTCCCATACTGCGGATTTTATTTTATTGTATCTACTATCTACGATATTGTGATCAAAGTAATGGAATAAAAAGTGTTTCATATTTAATTAATATCCCATTAGTACACTATTAGAAATCCTTTTTTATACTTTATTATTGCTGTGGGCATTTTCAAATCGTTAAGTACTTCTGACAGCACAGACATTGTAATCGAACTCAATAACCCTTGTCTGATAATATTATTAAGTATTTTGACGTGGTTGGTTAGTACCTACGCCCACTGATCATACATTATAAAATACATTTTTTGTAGTCACTAATCTACTATATTTTTTTATTTTGATATAAAAATACTCTTGAAAATACTTTTATAATTCGTTTTTATATTACTTGGTATGAACATAACCTCCAAAACTTTAAAGTAGAATATCTATAAATCCAGACTTCCTATAATAAACGCAATAAGACGAATCAAATCTAGAATCTAAACTCTATCATTTAATATGCAATTCATATATAGATGCAAAAAAAAACTTTCAACAAAAATGTGTATGGGAGTTCGCCATTGTCCTTTGGCATGTAAACATTGGCTTATAATAAGGCTGGGTTCGCCGCCCCGTGCCCACCCCACAATGATCTTGGACATACCCCCGGACATTTTAAAGACCAATAATATTGTAATCGACATAAAAAATACTAGAAAACTTGATTGAAATTGGCATTATGAAATACTTCTTCTTTTAGATAGTTACGAAGGTATAATAAAAAGTAACTATTCATAAAAAATGTGCCCTCCTATGGTCAGTTACATTATATGCATTTTTTTCGTGATTTGGCTGAAGGGCATTTAAATAATTAGATTTTGAAGTGTTTTGTCATTAACGTGTTAAAAATCATCAACATCCAAATCACGAATAAACCTCCTTTAGGGCAAATATGTTTGACATGTTTTTTGAGTAAACAACCTCTTGTATTTGATTAAGTAAACGAGTATGTCAATATTGAACTCCTTTCCAAGTAACTAAATACCAATGTAGAGTTTAATGCCATTATAACATACGAATTTCGTGAAATAAACATTAACTTCTTGTTGCTGATCCTGATAGTTTTCAAAGTTGTAGCCACAAACCTAGTTAAATCTAAGTTCTAGATCTACGGCTGGAAACTATAATGTCGAATTTAAAGTTGGCTTGTGGTCTTTTTAACCGACTTCATTTGAAAAAAGACGACGCGACGACCTCATTTCGGCAATATTATTTATATTTGTTACTCTTCTTTAAAATTTGTATTTTGTTTGAATCGGTTTTCTTCCAAAAGAATTCCACATAAAGTGGCAAAGATCTGACGAGTACTTTTGAAGACAAACACTCGAACTCCTCAATAACAAATAGCAGACATATCGAGTTTAAAAGAACTCATTAAATATAAAAGAGGAAATGCTAGCCAGGGGATCTCAAATAGCGGATTGCACGTCTTATCGTTTATTACACATTCCCTTAGATTAAAACAAAAAGGGAAGATACGGTGCGCTCTTACTAGTATCAAATAAAATATGCTCCGGCTCAACTACTTGAACGCAGCGCGATCGAAACGGCGAGTCCGCGTCGCATGGCTTTTATATATATATATATATATATATATATATGTTTTAGTTGCGGAAGGGTCCGTCGTTAGTCGGGTTGCGTTCGGGCGCGGAGGGCGCGGACGCAAGCGTGGTGGCAGCTCTTCTATTGGCAAAAGCGCCCTGGGAAGCACTTTGCTGGTGCGTTGAGTGTTCACTGACCGAGTCATACACTCGCTCGTACGTACTGGAGACAAGTTTAACAATAAAATCTTTTAATGAAGCAATATGTAGGTCTTTTTCTAATGTTGCGTTTCTAATATACTCGTACATAGCGGCCCGCGTTGGTTATCATGCGTAGCGCGACGTGTTGCTGGCGTGTAGGCGCTTTCGCTGTCCGTCCGCAGCCAACGCGTACCACGCGGGCGCTGCGTATGTTAGGATCGGGCGTAAGTATAGTTTATACAGGTTTGCTCTCATGCGAAGTGGGATGCTGCTACAGGGCACTGGTCTAAGCATCGTTCTTGCGGCCTTGCGCTTGTATTATTGATGTGAGCGCGCATGTTCTGTTTGGAATCTATTGTAATCCCGAGATACTTGACCCGGTGTATCCACGGGATTGTTTCTCCATTTATCTTTAGTGGAGGCAGCTGTATGCGGTGGTTCCCTATTACTATTGCCTGGATTTTTGAGATATTGATACTTAGTCTCTATTGGTTAAGCCAGGGTACTAAGGCGTCTATTGTTGGCTGCATTTATTTCGGCTGCGTGGTAGGGGCGAATGGAGGCGGTGGTGTATGCCGTATCACCTGCGTCACGGTAATATTATCTATACAGTATTGTGACTCGGCCCTGTCCTTGAAATAACTGCCTACGGCCGAGCGGTGCGTAAACAAAATACTGT